TTCTTTGTCTGTATTTCCGGCGGCTCGCTGCACCGGCTTTGGAGCGTTCGAGCAAATCAAACGCGGCCGGATGTACGACGCGCAGAAAAAAGCCCGTCCCGTCGCATCCTGCCTATTGTCTCTGCACTGGTCGACCGTCGGACGGGAATCCCGTTGTCTTTCTGTCTCAGGTCGCATCGTGCAACAATGGGCCGGGCTCGCTTTTCATTTTCTTCTTTCTCTATGGTCTTACTAATGCTCGGATCAACGGCTCACTGTTCTAATCTCTTCCGTTCCTCGCCCCTTTCTCTCTCGCGCTGTTGTCTGCTGTCTCCATCTGCTCGCAACTGCTCGGCTGCTCCAGCTTCGAGAGCCTACTACTAATCATCATCGAGACCAATCTCGGGAGGACTCGCGGTGATCATTCACCGCCATGCCTATTGTTTGCCTGCCTTCATGATGTCTGATGCCGGCTCTGTGGGCACCTGACCTGTAGGTGATTGATGGGCTGATGGCTAATTAAATGAACTCTTCGTTTCTTGATTTATTTATAATGGTGTTTGCAACTTCCTCATCACTTTTGTGTTGAGGGAGGGGTGAGAAAAATGTTTAAAAAAGGACTACCTTTGTACAATTAACATAAAAGGAAATGCCTGAATAAGCAAACAATCCTATGTCTACACGAAATTCACATTGAAATGTTCTGCACACAAAAAGTACATTCCTTTGAATATTAAAAAGGCGCTACCACGACTTCAAACCGCCACTAGACACTTCCAGCACCCCTATTTTGTGTAATACATCCTTTGTAGATGTCAAGTAGAGTGCCATCGCACCTTCATTTGTTGAAAGGGTGCAGTGCAGGAAAGTTATGACATACAAACTTGGGACCACTTTAGTTCTTTAGCGTCTGCATCGAATAATTATTGCCTGTACTAATGATTTCTACCAGGAGGTATAGAATCTTAAACTTTGAGAAATTGTGTTATGTAAAAATCTTGTTGAGAGAAAAAAAAAAAAAAAAGAAAAGCTAACGTATTTGCAGCCTTATTAATTGTTCAGAAGGTCAGTGGTAAAGTGATGACACGGAGGGGCAGTCAACACTTGTGATTCTGGTGTTTTGCACACTTCATGGCATCTACATATATTTGTTGTTTCTGTGTGTGTGAAAACTGTATATGTGTGCTGCATATAAACTTTTATCTGTATGTAAAGAGCGCAGCCCAAGGAGGTCACAAAATATTCTGGATATAGTATATATTTTTTTTTTCATTTGTGACGTCATTATGTTTCAGCATGCTATCTGAAGAGTGCTGCTAGAGTGCCCGTATTGTGTTAGTCCGGGAACCACGGGGGGAGGGGTGCAGGCATGACGTTAGCCACCTTTCCTAAGCTATCCTCCCGTGTCGCTTGCCTCTTTCTCATCCACCTCGTGAATCCTTTCAAATATGAACCACACGTGAGCATTGAATGGCACATGGTCGCCTCTACGAACTGAGTGGCACCAGGTTCTACCATGGTTCTGTTCATGATCGCAGCAGCTGACAGCGCCTACAGCAATAAATTCAAGGAATTATGTTTTTTTCCATCGTTACCATCGTGCAAGTGGATACCAGCGTTCTAACAGTGTGCTGAACTTGGTTCAGCTTGAGAAATGCGCTTTACATCGATAGAAATCTAAGTGCGAATTTCGACAGCGAATATTTGATATTGACCTTTTATTCTGGCTCAGAAGAGCCGCGGTGCCGCAGAAAGGCAAGTTGCCCATACCACGAGGGCTTGCGGCACCGCGTCTAATTATGACGCAATTTTGTACGCGTCCGTGTGAAAGACTTTGTGGAGCGTTCGTACAAGTTCACAATACGTTTGGGGGTTTTCGTAGTGTGCATCGCAACCAACATCGAACCATGCGGTTTAATTATGGTGTTTTATTACTATGCATCGTGGCCAATGTTAAACCAACTCGATTTGACTTGGCAGGAGCACATGTACAGGGTGTTTCCGGAAACGCGGGCAAAATCGCTCCTGCGAAAACTACATATCGCACGGAAAAAGGTTGATGCCGTAGTGGTCTGTGTCAGAGCATCCATTAAGGAAAATTATTAGGTAGCTTTCAATATAATCGGGTAATTATATAATTTTAGTAATTAAATTGTCAATGATTGATTTAAAGGGATGGTTTCAATTAAAATCTTGCTAGGCATCATTATAAACTACTAAATTCTTCGACATTACAATGATATAAAGCAAGCGCAGCATTTTACGGCGTTTGGACGCGTTTCTGGGTTTCGGTTTCTTATCGGAGCGCATCTCCGCGCAGGCAATCCCGCCTTCCGTGTCTAAAACGCGCAATGTGCGTGCGCCGCCACGCATCGCACGTAAAGGAGCATCTTCACACGGGCACCGACGTCAGAAAGGCACACCTCAGTCACGTGACAGTCCGGAGGCTTTCTTGTCTAGCCTCTTCTACGTACGATGCATGGCGGCGCACGCACGTTGCGCATTTTAGATACAGGGGGCAGGATTCACCGCGCGGCAAAGATCGCTCCGAAAAAAAAAAAAAATAAATAAAATAAACCGAAACTTAGAAACGCGTTCGAATTGAGCATTTTTTTTTTCGGAAGGCCTTAGAATGCTGCTCGTGCCCTATATCATTGTAACATGGGTGTATTTAGAAGTTTTCGGTGATGCCTAGAAAGATTCTAATTGAAACCATGCCTTTAAAATCAAAATTAACAATTTAATTATTCAAAATTAATTAATTACCCAATTATATTGAACGCCAATAATTTTCCTTAATGGGTCCTTTGACACAGACCACCGCGGCATCAACCTTTCTTCTGTGCGATGCGTAGTTTTAGCAGGATCGATTTTTTCCGCGTTTTTGGAAACTCCCTGTATTAGGGTGACCACCCGTCCCGCGACTCGCGGGTCTGTCCCTCTTTGAGGGCTCCTGTCCCGCGTCCCGCGAGAAATTCCAAAATCTTCAAAATGTCCCGCATTTCACACTGTCGTAAAATTCACTCCGCAACTCATGGTGCTGCCGAACAACGGGGCACGGGGAAGCGCGGAGGTCGCTGGTAATCGTGTGAATCGAAATGGTACGCCATTTTCTATCCAAGCATTGCGGGAAGCGACCGTTGTTCTTGCAGGAAAACCGACGCGTATGTGCCGTTGTGCCTCTTCCTTTGGTGGTAAAATATTGTAAGAAAGATTGCTCACCAAAAGTTTAAATATAAAATATTGTAATTATTTTCAGATTGCTGTGTCAATGCAAAAACGTTCGTGTGGATTTTTTTTTGTTTTTAGCGGAGACAGTTACAATTTTAATGGTCGAAAAAGAATATAATGTAAAACTTTGTGTAGGACCATGTTGATAAAAGTAAGCGTTGTCAGGAAACAATAACCTGAAAACGATTTACTGTTTACTACTGCTGTAGCGCTGCAACGGGGATTGGAGCCTTGTCAGGCGGCTTCGGTCGCCTTTTGCTCCAGCATCACAGACTTCTGGTCTAAATAAATAAACAATAAAAAACAATTATTTCCATTTAATGCAATGAGTTCTGATACAATAGATTTTTATGTTTTCAACTTCGACACATTTAAAAACATGTTTGGCATTAAAAAAATATATCACTGGGAGTGGAAATTATTTGAGGCTAATTGCTGGAATACAGTTAGTAGGTGTATAAACCATACAGGATAGTAAATGTGTTAACAGAGCCTCGGTGCATTGTGTGCGTGTCAAAAAACAAAGTGTGTGGTGGAGAATGGCCACCTATCTTACCTGAAAACGTTAAGTGGCATACCCATTCAAGTCTTGTTATGTATACAGTTACCTTCTATGATTCAGTAATCAATGTTTTGATGAAAATGTGACCAAGGGTGGTAATTCTTTTTCTGCAGGTGATTGTACAGCAGCAACAAAGCAATTCAGAGGCAAGAGTAAAACTTCTAAAAAGCACTGAATGCTCCAAAAATTGTAAAACGAAATTTGACGAAATGGCATTCAACGAATCGGCATTCTATGAAATGCCATTCAATGAAAGGGTGTTCGATGAACAGTCCAGTACTCATTAATTTCAAAGACAAATTATAAACACACAGGGTGCACTGATGAAAACTTAACCTGTTTTGATCTGTGTTTGGTCTTAGTTTTTAGAGTGACATGTTCCAACCAGGCTGAGATCTGTCGAAAGGCAATTCATGTTTCCATTCCATGAATCAGATTACGAACTACTGCAATCTAGGCTCCCACCCCGCATTATTAGGTTTTCTACACTTTCAAAGTTAGCAGCTTTTTTTTTTAATTAGATGAAACACAGGCAACATCCTGTTTGCCTTTTGCAAAAAAAAAAAAAAAAAAAAAAACCAGATGAAAAAAAAAGCCTGTGTTTATACAGTTTTCAGGCATTTGTGACAGGAGAAAAAAAGGTGTATCTATGGCAGGTTTTGTTTCACTGGGTGGTCATACTAATCATGTTGCAAGTGTTCCTACTGAAGTCGGTCCTTGTCAGATGAACAAGTCTGTCATATTAAATGTTTTTCGTAGATAAAAAAAAAAACAATACTTGTGAAACATGGTCATAAAATGGAAATTTCAGAATACCAGATGAAGTTCACTGTACCTATACAGCTTAAAAAAAAGTCATATTTTTACGTCAGAGTAGACTTTCACATATTCAGGGGGACAACTGGGTGACCCTCATAGAATGCACAAGTTCGGACAGCACTGCAAGTAGCTTACAAAATAGATAAGGACCAACTATGTCTGCTGCTAATGCAGAGCACCATATCTCCTCGATAAAAATTCTTGCTAATGGCTTTTTATTTTCTCAACATTATGGGCTCAGGTCTTTTGATGAGATTATCTTTAGGAGGAGTTTCAAGTGTTTGTGCAGTTCCTCCTCCTTGCAGTGAACCTGGTATTGGAAACACCCCTTGTGCACATCCCAGGTTGCAGGCAGTGGCTGTGGCAGCGGGTTGGGTGATTGCAACCTAATGGGGGTCGTACGACGCAGGCTCTGTACACGTCAGCGAGCGTGGCCGAGCGGCAGCGGGCGGCCCTGGCAGCGGCACACGATGCCCAGGTGCGAGCGGCGTCAGTGCGCACGGACCTGGCCCTGGAGCTGCCCCCAACCGTGGCGCTGCCAGAGGAGCACCCGCTGACCATGAGCGTTCACCTGCGCGACGCCGACCAGGAGCAAGAGCTGTACGGTGCCTGTGTGCGAGCACCGCCCAACCGGACGGTGACGGACAGCTGTCCCCCTTGTCGCTCGGGTTCGCTGAGCCTGGTGCAGCGCAACTGTGCCACGCCCCTAGTCATGCGCTCCCACTCGGTCAGCGTGGCCCAGTGCAGGCGGACTGCCCCATGGCCCAGCTCTGCAGGCAGCACGGACTGCGGCCGGCCGGGGGGCGTTTGACCCCCGGCGGCGGACTATGCGAGTCTTTCAATGCCCCGGCAACCATGTGATACGAGTGTGCTTCAGTGCCCAGGCCCAAAGGGAACGTGCTGCAGGTCGGACACTTTTGTACAAACACCCCGAACGCCGGCCGCGCAACACCTTGGCCGTTGGGGCACTCTCGGGACTGTGCTGAGCAGGTGGGGAGGAAAACTAGGCAGGTTGTACAAAGCGTGCATAATCAGTGTTCAGATATATTACGAGAGTCGGTGTTTCGCCCTCGTCTGACCGGGGCGGCAGGAACACGTGCCATGGTGCAAGGTCTACCATGTGATGCGCAAACGGCAGACTTTCTCAAATCCCAGTCACGTTTTGTCCGTTTCTTTACTCTGTGTACTTCTAAGAACAAATTCAAAGTTGGTTAGTGTGACGGAGGCATTGCCAACATGGCTGGGGACAGTGGTGGCCATGCCTGAGGCCCTCGTTCCTGCATTGATGGTACAAATGTCTTCACGATGAACTCTCAAGCATTCCTAGTCATGTTGTTTAAGGAAGCTCGTAGTAAACTAGAGACAATGGCAACAATACGAAAGACAAACCAAGAGGGCAAAAGAGTGGTTGAGAGCATGCATTAGTATGCATGCGGCATTTTCTAAGCTCGCTTTCTAGCAATGCCCCCAGAACTCGAGATCCCATGATTGTCCACTTTGACAAAAGAGCCAGAATTGAGCAAAATGCTGGCTCATCTTAATTTGAATCCTGTTTCTGCTTCAGACAAGACTGTCAAGTACCTATACTAAATTCTCAAGCGACAAAAGTGCAGCCTTTATTCCCTCATGCATACCTCAAACTGAATTGCAATTACTGGGCTCAGTGTGAAAAAGGTTTATGCCTGTGCATCTGTGAGCCATCAAATTTCAGGGAAGGAAGTTTCATCATTCTGGCGTTTCTAAAAAGTTTACAATGTATAGCCACTGACTAGAGGTGGTGCTGAGAATTGCTGACTTGTAATGGGTGGTAAATAAAGTTTATTGTGATTTCACAGAATACCTTTTAAATTATAATGTAGTGGACTCTTTCCAAGAGGGAGAAATGAGTGTTGGAAATTTGGGCAGTTGTTTGTCACTATTGGCTATGACTACCTTGGAACTATCTAAAGCAAAGAAAAGGAACACCTGTTTTTTGTTTACTTCTTTACTGCAGTTTTTAGTTAATCCCTCTAGGGAGGGTATGCAACCTGTATTGCTCAACAAGCAGTATTTATTTAGATACATGTTTTCTCGTAAATTTGATTGTTACACTAATGACATGAAACAATTCAATGAATATCAATAAATATATGGTTTTCCTTGGGCAGTAGCTGCACAAGAGACTTCAACTTGGGTTTTTCATTACTAAGGATTATGTGCTCACTCTTACCTGAATTGATTGTAGATAAGAAGCTTGCAAAGGGCAGTGGGAGGGTTAGTTTGTTGTCACACAAATGGCAGGTGTATTTCTCTCAGAGGTGTTGTGAAATCATGAACGTCTGAATTAGAGGAAGACAGGAAATCGCTAATGTTTATTTCATAAATGTGATTGAGGGTTGACTCAGGTTCGACTAATTTGTGCATATGAAACTAGTGAAGGTAAGAAAAGGCATCTTCCAAGATGTAAAATATAGTTATTTCTAAATTCCAATGAGGCAACATGCAATAGACTCGAGGGGCATGTGCAAGCAGTGCAAGGATGAACAATGTACTGCACCATGAAAAAGATATTACTATTCACGCTAAAAATATGAACTCGAGTGGTTGCGTTTCGAGAAAAGTCATATGTATCATAACTTATAAGGTTCCTACAGTCTAAATATGCACTCCCTACTTTACCCCTCTGTTATTGCCAGATGCTGTTCAAATCAAAACCAGTGTTTTTTTTTTTTGTTTTTTTTTTCAGGTTCCTAGAGCTAATCCTTCCACCTTACAGTTGGTGTCCCATTACATTGGGATCTTTATGGTAATTCTTGGTAACCAGTAATCAGCAAAAGTTATGACTAGATTGCCAACTGCAATTTATGACAAGGTATTTCACAAAATTCAGGGCATAATTTTCTTTTAAATAATGTATGGACAAAGTGTTTCACGAAATTTAGGACATAATTTTCCTCCACACATGACACACAAGATAGATTAATGTTGTATTGGTCACTGCCAATAAAGGACGAGACCAAATTATATTTACCATCTGCTTTGGTTTCCTGTTGGCTGCATCTTAGCACAGACAGCCATTAAGACACGGATCACAGCAGCACAATATTCCAAATGTTTTTTTTTGGGAGGGATGCAGTAAGCATTACACATGCTTAAATCTTCCTGAATCTGATTTACATAGAGGTTTTTGATGATGCTCAGCAAGTTTCTAATTGAAACCATACATTCAATACTGATTAGAAGTTATTTATTAAAATTAATTAAACACATAAAGGGCAACTGTGCTCAATATAGTGATTTCATATTGAAAAGTGCTAATGAATATGCCTTTGCCATTTGTTTCACTAGAAGGAAATATTTTTCGTGCAATCTTACTTTAGACATGGTCAGAAACCGCAACCACAACTTTGGTTCTGACAGGCAGCATTAATCCTCCTTTGTCAGAGGTATGGCTAACCATGTGGTATAAACAGTCACATGACCTTCCAGGTGACACGCAGATGAGTGTAGCGCGCTGCTGGTACAGTTTTTACTTTTCAAAGCTTTTACCTGGAAAAGTAAAATCAAACAAGAAGTCTCAATGTCTCTTTCGTAGTTGCGCACTCTGTTGTTGATTGCACTGCACGTTGCCTGCTGTAGTTAGCAGAGTTTGGCGACTTGGTGCATCTTAAACTTTACTGGCCCATTTAAGGGCACTAAAGTGGATCTTGAGATCATCTTTTAATGGCACATACTTTTTGTAACACACCCCTTTTTATGAGGTATATCTCAGAACAGGGGCGTAACACAATGTTTGGTAGCATTTTTAATAGGGAAAATGGTCACAAAGAGTGCAATTTTTAGTGTTCTGCTATGCTTAGGGCAAGTAGGCTGAGTTTGTCCTACAAAGAGATGATCTCAGGAACAGTTTTAGTACCCTTTTAACATAATGGAATTAGATAATAATATTTGATGTGTGGTCTTCCTAAATGTAAGAAGAATTGCATTGTTTTCTCAATGACATAAATAAAGTGGGGTTGCCCTTTAATTATTCATAATGCTGTGTACCTCCCTTGGAAGGCTGCTTGGTAGTGACCAGTATAGCATTAATATTTGTTCATACATTTTAATTTTCATAAATAAAATAAATAAATTAAAATGTACAGTTTTCTTAGGAAACTTCTGGCCTGAATTTCGTGAAACAGCCTGCAGGGCACTACATACGAACATGGCTCATTTTGATGATCATGACAGTTTTATTAATTTGGAGATGGGAGCAGAGCCCAAAATAACTGCCAAAATTATCATTCTCATACTTGAAACCCCAAGATGAGGGAAGACAAGAAGCTAAAAAGGGGGACGCACATCTCCTAACACATATATGAGTTTAATTCACCAGCTAGTCTGCATTCTCTCAGTTAGTTAAAATGATTTCATTGATTATCTTTGATATGACTGTGAGGAAACCATGCACACATGCACATAACAAAATTCATCTGCCACTTTTGCGCAAGGTGGGCTAAGGGGAAAGTAGGGGCTTACATTGTTTGTTCTATCCATCTATCTTTACCTGCCTTCTCAGAAGGGACCAAACTTGTGAAATAGCAAAAGGATCTATCTAACACAGAAGGTTCTGATCTACTTCCATAGGAGCTTCTCTTCAACAGACATTGTCTAGGGCTTGCTTGCTTGAAGTTAACTGAGACAAATCCTTACCTGAGATAGTGAGGAAAAAAGCATTAAGGAGGCATACAAATGAGCAGCACATCAATAGGAGAGTAGAGTATCTAAGGCTCTACGCATTTGTGCACTAGTCTTGTTAATAGCTGCTTTCAGGATTTCTCGTGTAAGATTTTCTTTTAGCTTGTTTCAAGCACGGTGGCCTAGAGAAATGCTTGCTGAAAAGGAAAGTTGTACCATTTATAATGAGGGTATAGATGCTTTCTCTTTGCTTCAAGTAAGAGCCGCCATCACTGACTAGCGTCCCATGTTTCACTCATGCTAAGCCACTAAAACAGGCAAGGATGAATCCACAGAAAGCTTGCATTGGTGATGAGACCACTGTAGCGTCTCTAGAACAGTGGTTCTCTACCACTGATGTTTCGAGGACCCCTTCTGGTTTGACAGTGGTGATAAGGGCCCCATCCTCCAGGGGGGGAGGGGTGGTATTGGACGGTTACAGTGACAAAGGGGTAAATAAGAAAACTACATGGTGTGCAAATTAACTTTGAAGCTCTGGAACGGATGGTCATTAACCCTACTCATTTGGCACACATAGTTTGGTCTATTTAGCTGGGGCAGCCAGCATCAATAATAAAATAAGTTTTATTGCTTGACTTGACTGATGCTAAAGAGCTTAGGAGACCCCAAGAAGGCCTTGTGTAAGCTTAGTGATGAAGCGAAGTGAACAAAATAAAAAGGTCAGTTATGGCTTCCTCTGTGCACAGCTTTCTAGAGGGAAGTACAAGCCAGATCCCAGGTTTAAAAACATATGCTGTCAATACAAAGTATGTCCCACCATGAAAACATGCACCCTCTGTTTTTTTTAAATTTAAAAATTCACTGGAGAACTGTGCATAAATTGAGCTCTAGCTAGCACTTGCTCTCAATTGTGCAGGTTCTTACTATGTATCTAAGCATTTTAAAACAATACTTTTGTGCAGGAGCAATTCACAGCATGTAGCTTTTAGATTTTAAAATATACTAAACAGTGTTTATGGACGTAACAGTATTGACTTTAATGAAAGAGGTCCATCTCTCGAGTACACGGTGTCCCCTAAAAATATTTACTAGTGCTTTTTTCATTGCAAAAATAAACAATGCATCACCAAACGCTCAATCTCTGCCCAAAACATAGCGCTAGCAGTCCGGACCAGATGCCAAAGTTTCAGAGCGTGCTGTTATACAATTAAAAAGTTATAACCAATATTTTTAAATTTTAAAAGAGAAAAAGAGGCCAACAACACCCACAAAGGCATGGAGAAGAATGAAGTCAGCTACCGGGAATATGTTGGCATCTGGTCCAGACTGCTAGCACTACATTTGGGCAGAGACTGGACGTTTGGCGACGTGTAGTTTATTTTTGTGGGGAAAAAAACATTGAAAAGTATTTTTCAGGGAAATGCTGTTTAAGGTGTTTTTACCAATCTTAGTTCTGAAATTACAAAAACTAGTATCACTATTCTTTAACTAATGACATTATGTTTATTATTATTGTCTGTTTATTAAATCCCACTAAATGTGCTACAAAAGTAGAAATGTCTCAAGATAGCACACTTGGTGGTCAGACCCCTCTCTGTGTAGACCTTCAAATGCATTCACATTGCTTCCTTTAATTACCATACTGTTTAATTTAGGTTCTCATTCAGATAAAACAATAATGGCCCCTGTGATAGAACTACCAAAGCAGGTAAAGATCTCACTGAGAATAAAGGAACAAGCTGAACACGTCTGTAACACACAAGCCCCCCAGGACAGGTTCCGTGAGCACCAGTGTGGTGCATGCCCCACATTGAACCCTTTTTTAAGCCAACAGTTGAGAAACAAAAGATACGAGGAAGTGATATAACCAAAATGTAATAAGCGATGCATTAATATGTGAAGTCTAATTCCCCCCAGCCATTCTTGAGGTTGAACTGGGCCTTGGAAGAAAAACAATGTGATTTTGGTTTGTCGGCAGCGGTCACAGAAATGGGAGTACTTCGTAATTAATGGAGTTCTATGTCATACCGTAATATATTAAGCAAACACTGGTTCAAAATTGGGACGATTTGACCAAATTTGGGTTGGACTGAGTGCCTGATTGATAAGAAATTTGAAATTTTATGGAAAAAAGAAGGAAGCATATGTTCATTTTTTTTTTTTTTTTTGCAGTTTTCACACAATTAGGTTTTGTGCATGCTGAGCATCATTTTTGCAAAGTACAGAAAGTCCCCGAAATTCCATGGATGGGAATGAGTCAAGGCATCTTGTCTTGCTTCTATTGAGATACAGAAATTGAAAAATGTAGTTTTCTAAAATGCAGCATTTACACTAATATCTTGACATCACAATGTGTGGATGGTATGGTACCTGGAAACTTTTGAGGATATTACTACTGTTAATAGGGTTCTTCAGTAAGGTTCATATATGCTGTACTAATTGAAAACATTAACTGTGTTCCATAGTAGTTTGGAGAACTCTTACAGCGCTCTAGAAATTAAGGAGAGGTTTTTCTTTTTTTGTTTCATATTTTATTGAGATGCAGGTGCATCCGTGCGAGTTTGAAGATATACCTCCAACCAAAATAGCAGCTAACTTCACTGTGAGGACAATATGTGCAGTTTATCAAATCCCTGCACTGTTTTAAGCATGACCCCCAGTACAAAACAGCATAACGGTTATTGTACCATCACATACTAATTGGAGTTCAGGGTTTTTCAATGCATATGAAATTACAATTGGTCACTTTTTGTCAATTCTGTTTCTGAACATACTTAAAACATACTTAAAACAAATTAAACCTCCAAAAATCAGAATAGAAGTTCAAGGTGAGAATTTTAAGTTGAAATCCTTGGGTTGGAAACTTTGGTGACACAAGAAATATGCCTGGAGTTTTAAAAAAAGATTTTGCGACATCTCTAAATTGAGCAAATCTTTGCACTTTTTTATGAGACCTTGCTGCCTATATTTACAGTTGAAAGGAACTTGTGTTTAGCACATGTGCAGATATATACATGATAAATTGTTTAAGTGATCATAAGAGCTTCATCTTTAACAGTTGGTATGCCACATGTGCTACTACATCTGCCTTACTATCCATAGGTTGTTTTGTGCTTCTTGATTTTTGCTCGACACAACTTGCAGTTATGTTACAGGCGTCTGGAGCATACCAGAATGAACATTTTGAAAGCCATTCAGTTTGGGAGTGTATTATCCTAAAAGAGATCAGTAGTCTAATGCTTTTGTTTTGGTGAAAACTCATAGTGCCTCACAGTTTATAGATCGAGTGATATTTTGTTTACTCACCTTTTGTGTACTAGGCCCATCTGGGGACACCATGACAGAATGTCACGAGACAGGACAGTCTGTGACAAACAACAGTGTGTGTCATAACAGCACGGCTTCCAAACAGCACAGCGATAGAACTGCACATGTGTAGATGGTGCTTTAAAGCAGCTTTTGTGGACAGTTATAAGTTATGAAATAAGAGTTTTCTTTGCAGAAATGATTTGTGACTGACATCAGCCTCATTTGCCTAAGATCAAGAGTTCCAACTTTACAGGTAATGTTCTGATACCCGGGGTCTGTTTTAGATATTTACCTATTCTTGTTCTGGATCTTTTTTTTATTGTAACACTGGAGCTTCAATCTGAAAATCTCCAACAATGTTTTTGTTTTATTAAAAAAACGCTCACATAGCTGTTGAGCAGTCTATTTCCATGCCTATTTGCATGACTCAATCATTGAATAAAAAATGATAGATTTAGATCATATTTTAAAATCAATATCACAATAAGGCATGAGTATTGTAAAGTCATGTGATTATTAACATAGGTCTGTTAATAAGGATACCTTGCCGTATGAACACAATTTTTTTGTACAAATATTTACTGAAAATACTGACTGGAATTATAAATTTTTAGTCTTGTAAGTAATTTTTCTAGCAGTTACATCAGTTTAGTCACTGAGCAGAAGACAAGTGTACAAGGGTGGTTTCTCTTCCCTCAACCTTAAAAGTGCTTATTACAGGTGCTCGGGTTCATTGTGTAAGATTCATTCCCCATTGTTATGTCTCGATTATTGGAATATTGGTTTTGTATGGCGTGAAAATGTAACAACACCATAGCCACAATCGAACAGAGGGTCAACATTTCAATTAGCGTAACTGGTCATCAGTCACTGGCATTATAGTTCTGCAAGAAGTTAAGCTTTCGAAGGGGTGGATAAAATATGTTATCAGAACTTAGCTACCAGTGTAACTAAAAATAATGGCAAATGAGAAACATGATTTTATTCAAGAAGTAAATTGTAGAATGAAAGATATTTAGGCTGATGGGGATTATTTGGTGCTGAATAAAACCCCTGTATTTAGGCACCTTGTTTGAATGCCACACCATCTACATTGTTTTGTTGCTGTGCTGTTTTGACACTGCACTGTTTTGTCATGTGGTCTTAAGTCTCATGCTGTTTTGACTTTTTGTTTTGATGCTGTGCTGTTTGGGTGCCGTGTTATTTTCTTGTGTGCTGTTTTACTGCATGCTGTTCTGTTGCATTCCCTCTCCAGAGAAGTGATAGGCTTATTAAAAACAAAACAAAAAAAAACATTAACTTCTGCAGAGACCTTAGAAGGCCAGTGAGATGCTGACAGTAAAATTTGAGTGGCAGCCTGATATTAAAGTACATTTTTCTGCAGAGAAAGTTTAACTTGGCAAAATGCTATCAATGAAGCAGAGCTGGAATTTGCAAGGATTTCATGCACACAAATGTAAGAACTAATATATAGCAAAATTCTCCTTCTCTACAACTGGATCGGATCCTAATCATGTAATGCTGAACCTTGCACTAATGTATACAACCAGAAATGCCCCATCTTTAGGACAGTACTCCAAAATTGTAAGCAGAACTGTTAGAATCTATTAAAACAACACAAATGGTGCAGCACAATCAAGTACTAAGATTGATGCTGCAGCAGCTATGCAACATGGCATGTTGATAATACCACTATGTGTTCCGAGTTAAATTGCCCCTGTGTTTACTTGTGCCGATTGACGTTAGAACTCCACGGTATAAAACTTTCTCTATTTATGTAGTCGCACAAGTGTTAGCTGTATGTTGTGGCACAATAAAAATGGGTGTATGGGTTTCAAAGACATATGTTCCAGTTTTAAGCAAAGGTTGGTAAACTAAAATAGCAATGCTTACCTAAGGATTCTATCAAATGTTGTTTGCTTCACTTATCAATTTATTTGTTTTACTGCTCAAGATAAACAGAATTACCATTTGGGATACAAGTTGCTGTTTTTAAGTTTGACTTGTTTGAATATGGTGCAATGATCCACTGGGCATCCCACATGTTTCTTACCTCTACACCATCAAATAATCCTTAAATATCAAGATCTCATCGTAGCCGGATGAAAGATTCCTCGAATGTCTATTTAAATGGAGCATTTTTTCTGGCAAACTTTTTATGCATATACCCGGTGCTCTGTTGAGCGAGCTCACATTGATTTTGAAATAGTAACTCGGCACTTGAGAATCAAGGACATTAATTCTAATCTTTTGACAGATACGGAGCAGGCAAAACACAACCTCTGAAATATACCTTGGAGAAAAGATAAAGCGATCGCTATGCCCTGGTGTTGATCTTTAATTTTTTCTTGCAGCATTAGAAGTACAGTGCAATCCACTTATAATGATAATTAGAAAATCCGAAAATTCAATCGTTATAACCAATTATCGTTGTATCTGGTCTAGAAACTGAGCGTTTCTAGTCTAAAATCTCTAGAAAATGATTGTTATAAGCAGGACATCAGTATATGTGGTATCATTATAAGTGGATTGCACTGTAAATGTTTGGAATATATACTAAATTAAACACAATGATGTATTTGAGATCTTACAAAAGTCGGGTGGATTTGATTTAGCTTCTGGATTGGGAAGGTTCCTTGGTTTTCACTGGTTGGCTTCAAGACTAAGGTTTGTGCAGCAGGGGTTATCTCACCAAGGTAAGTAAAAGTAAAAGTCATGGCGAGATTGACCTGTCTATAATTTTCTGTTCCAAATGAAAGCTAAAACAAGAAGTGACATTGTGCACAATGTCATTTCTTTTTTTGGCAATATTAGCGAAGCTTAGGTGAACTCTGCTCTTGGAGAAATGGAGTTTTTCTCAGTATCTCTTGGTCCAGGTAACGTCATGTTTTCAAACTTTTGCGTTCTATCCCAACTGCTAACGTCACCTTCTGGTGTTTGGGCTTTCTGTGATGTGTATAGTTTATTTACCCAGGTCGAAAAGGGCTGTTTTCTTGGGAACTTCCTATACTTTGTGGAGACTGTCAGTTTTTATAGTTTTTAGTAAGGAACGTTTCAATCTCCTTGCTTTGCTCGCTACTATCTCACCAGGTTGGAGACAGCTTTGTTCTCAGAACACTGATCCTCGACTAATTGGCAGGGATTCCTTTGGGATCTGCAGGTATTTGTGGGATTAGCGCTCGAACTGCGTCCTTACAACACACAAAGATGATCGAGGCTAGTAGGAGCTAGGAAAAAAAAAAAAATTATATATATATATATATATATATATATACTGGAAGCATCAGCGTGGCGGCTGCTATTTCTCTGGGTGTCTTAACTCCCGAAAAAGCTAAGTCTCTTAGAGAAACGTCCGCCGCCGCACTTCCAGGAGATCCCTTTTCAAATGACATCCTTATGACTGTCGAGAGGGCTTTCTCTGCGCGCTGCGCGGGCGTGCTCCGCAGTGAAGCACGGGTACACGTACGATGCAGAAAAGGTGAAAAGCTATGGGAATTCAAATCAATCACAAAAAAAAAAAGAAAAAAAAAAGGAAGAGGGTTTCTTTCAGCGGTTTATCCCAGGTAACGGCTGAACCACGGTGTAGGAGCGAGTGGCACCGACGGCTCTTTTCTTCATTCGATGAGATCTATCGCCAAACACCCCCCCCCCCCCCCCCCCCCCCCTCCCTTTGCTGCTCGGTGGCAATCAGTTCATCGAACGACGTTTCATTGAGACGCGATGTTTCATTGACAAATCGTTTCATCAACAGCTCAGATTAGCTTTTTTCTGTGATAAGAGCTGCATAAGACTCGCCGTGAAACGGCGTGGACGCAGGCGGGGGGGAAGCGGGGGGGGGGGGGGGGAGGGGGGGGGGGACAGCGTGAACGCAGGCCGGGCAGGGGGCGGGGGGGGGGGGGGGGGGGGGTAACGCGCGCCCCAGTGATGCAAGCATGAAGAAATGACCCTAACGCGTACGATTCGCGAAACGAGTGTCGATGAAACGATCGTGTCGACGAAACGTGTGCCCATGAAAAGTTGTCCACGAAACGAGTTTCGACGAAATGATAGGGACGCCTGCTGCTTTGCCTGAGTGCATCTATGCGCATGGAGAAGCGTCCTTTCCGGGGGGAAAGAGAGGGAAGGGGGGGGGGGGGGGGGAGAGAAGAAGGGGGGAACTCGCCAAACACGTCTATATGAATCAATTACGGAAACCAAAGAGGGATATAGACACCAAAACGTTCAACCATCCGCAGTGTAAATCGTACCTCGTTCCACTACACGCGGTCGACTCGGTCACCGAACCCACCTTTCAGGGGGTTCGGTTTTTGGTGGCCGTGTTTGCTAACAAATTTCGCCGTCTATTTATGATAACTTTCGCCGCCCAAATGTTTCTATGGTTCGCACATGCATAGGTTGCCTCGGTGGACCGCTACTTATACTTGCACTTCGAGCATTTACCTTCAAAATGTTTTTTTTTTTTTTTTTTTTTTTTTTTTTTTTTGCAATGCATCACGCTCGTTAACAAGGTAAACGAGCGTAAACGCGACCAGCTTGACATCCGACATGTACTTACTCAATTTTTCTCGCCCTCCAGTCTTCCCTGTGGACTTTACAGTACGCAGAGATTGCGAGGGTACGAGTCCCGTTTTTTACCGCTCAGCCAGCTCAGCGCCTCGGGCAGTGGCGCCAGTGCGAGCGCTCGGCCAGCTCGGCGCTCGGCAGTATGGAGCGCCCCCAGTCAACGATTTCTAAACTAAGCGCTGTGCGACTCGAAATGGCTCGAGCGGTTCTTGAGCGGGTCTACCGAATGCAGTGGGGCAGGAATGGTGGGAAAGTAGGAAAGCGAGAGTGATGCGGGGATGTTCGGATGGTGTGAAGGTAGCGTTGCTTTGTAGGGTCTTAGGTTAGGCTCCGATATTCCTTGGCCTTCGTTTCATTCCAAACATGTTGTTTACAAAGGCTTAGCTTAAATACTTCCGTAAACTTTTACGTGTAGAGGGGGGAGTCAACGTGTCTGTTCAAAGCTCCGTTGAGTAGCCTTTTGCTGTTTTACGCCTAAAGTTCGGGTTATGTCGGCGGTGCTGTTGCCGCTCGAGAATTTCTAGAAGCTTTCGGTCATTCGCAAGTCCTTGGGCGTTCCTGGTTATATGCGAGTACTGACGTCTGTCACAGGGCCGGTGCACAATGCCATAAGTGTATAGGCTACAATGAGGAGCGAAATCCTGCAAATGTCTCATTGCTCTCATCTTTTGCGACTATGCCAGGTTGGTGGATGTTTTCGCTTTCTTTGCCACATGTTTGTGCATTTGCAGCGGTTGAAAACCTGTTGAGTTGCATGCAGATATCGCTGTAGTGCTTGCAAATCGAGACATTGTTGCTCTAAGCACGCAAGGTCGGAAATATTACCTGCCATCTGTCGTAACGTATGGAGACTTGCTGCGCTCTTTTGCCAATTGAATGTCACTTAAACGCTCATTGACCGGGCTGCTGGGCGCTACCGTATTGCAGTAGGCATTGTTTGGTTGCTGTGTCCTATTCACTGTGATTGTGCTGACTCGGATTGAAGGCGAGTGAAGCCTTCGGAAAAGGTCATGAAACAACTTCATAATCGAGCATGCAGAAGTGCATTGTTGGGCACCAAAACATTGTCGGCAATATCGTTTTCTTTTTTTGTTTAACTATTGTTTTAGGATTACTTCGGAGTTGTGCTGCCGTTCTATGAACTGTAGTAATCATCGTGTGCAGTATCTGTTGCATGTTTCGTTATAAATGTACCAGGATGCCTTTCGCTCTTTTTCTTCTAATTCACGTCCCTGAAGATTTTACAGAACTAGTAATTGACACCTTATTTAGTGATATAGGGTGTATGGTGCAAACTGTGTTTCTCTACATATATAGTGTCCCAAGTCGCCAGGCTCGTTCTAAAGTGGACCGTAAAAATAGACGCCTGCACGTAGCAATCCAAACTTTTCGTCAAAGGTGTATTTCACAGGTCGGTTTTTTTCTTGTAAAATTATAAAGCATACCATAGCTCTCTTTGTGTAAAAAATAGGGCCAAGAAACTTGCCAGGGTCTTTGGCGGACGATGACACAGACGACCAAGTCATCTGCGTTGCCACCCGCCATTGAACCTGGCAAGTTTCTTGGCCCTATTTTTACACGAAGAGAGCTACGCTTTGCAATTTTACAAGAAAAAAAACCGACCTGTGAAATACACTTTGACGAAAAGTTTAGATTGCTAAGTGCAGGCGTCGATTTTTACGGTCTATTTTAGATCGAGCCTGGTGACTTGGGGCACTCTATATATTGAATATAATTACCTCAGAAATGCATTGTTAATACCTAATTAGCACTTTTTAATGTAGGGGAAAATTTAAGAGAGAATTAAAACATGCCATCTAGGAATTAAACAAAAATATTTTGAATGCAAGTTATTGTATGTTAAGGCACATAATCTGATCCTGGCACGAGCCATAGCTTCGATCACGGGCCATTGATCATTCCATGGTGCGGAAGGTCTCTCACTGTAAAGAATGGGTCGATGAACCTTGTACATCGGACAGACAGGAAACATGCCAATGACCCTGCCTTTGTCTCTTGAACTACCCTTCCTCTTTCGTAGTTTTTGGTGCTCTCTGATTTTATTTTGGCATTTTCAAACGTCTTTTTCATTTGTAATGCACACTCTTCTGTTTGTGCTTTCTCACAGGAAGCTCACTTCCCTCTTTCTCATATTCCCAGTTGTAGACTGCACTGTTGTCTTCTCCAATTTCAACAGGCAGTTATTGACTGTGGCTCGAAGACTAGGAAAGGTGGCGAGTGGAGCCGTCACAATGGTTGGAGTTTGCCCCTGCATCCACTACAGCTTGTGGCCTGGTTTTTCATCTCCTACTTCTTGGTGATGTACTTTGCTGTGTTGGTCCCCAGCTGTCCCAACGGTGCATGGCAAATTGGCCTCTCTGTTGTATCCTTTTCTTGGTTCTCTCCAACATCCCTGTTTGAGATGGCTGCTGTAGATTTCATCAGTGTAGGGCATCCTCCTCTTGAATTGTGCAACTTGTGGAAATGTGCGGTGAATATACAGGACATTTTACCAAACATCGGTCAAAACATTTGCATAGAACCTATGCATCGCACAGAAATGAAATTGGTAACATATTTGTCACTGTCAAGGGGCCTATTTATTGAGGTATGCAGCATTTAGGATACTAAAAGTTTTAATTGGCTTTGCATAACCAACTTTTTATTTAGTTAATAGTTAACTCTATGTTATTTATTAGTTAATAGGTAACATACAGTTCCAATGAGAAACTTGCTGGGCATCATTAAAACCTCCGAGATCTGTAAATTTTAGAAAGGTAGCTCATGCTTTGTTTTTCTGGGTCTCATAAATGCATCCTAATTCAGTGTGCTACATTTATCCCTTGGCAATGACTTGTATGTCACCAATCATTTTTCTGTGCAATGCATATTTTTCGTGGAAATTGTTTGGCTGATGTTTACTGAAACACCTGATATAAACAACTAGGCAGCCTTTTAAGGGGGAAGCAGTTGTGACCTATGGCTGACATTTGAACTAAATACAGGTATCAGGGTATCAGGGAATATATGTCAGGAAAACTTTGTCTATAAATATTTTGACTATTTAAACTCAAGTTTAAAACTTTTTCTGGCCAGATACATTATTGTTGGTAGTAAATCACTCATCCCACAATACACTGCATGCATTTTTGTTTATCTTAACGCATTTCCTGGTATCTATCTCCGGATAACATCGGGACGCTGTTGTGACCACCCGGAAGTCACCTAGCATGCACAGTGCATCATCCTATGATGCAAGACATATTTTTGCATTTCTGGGCAACATATTGAAGCTTATGTGTCGCTATAAAAGAAAATTTTAATATTGTATGTAGTCTATGTCAAATTATCTTCGGAGGTTTTAATTGTGATTGTTGTAGGGTTGCAGTGCTTTTCTTTCCTTGACATGCTTCATTAGGTGAATGCTGTCATAGCCCTTGTTCATTTTACATCACATGCCTTCAGCATCACCATTGACCCTGCAGACAGTAATGTGCGAGCCAAAAATGTGCAGGGTCCATTGCCCCCCTTTGACCGCAACAAGCATGCTCATGTGATTGAGAATCAGTTCTGCTACATCTGTGAAGTTAAAGTGTAAGTTTTTTTGTTTTTTTTGCCTAGTTGTGGTGCCTGTTGTGTTATGGCAGGTCCTCAGTGGCTGCAAATATTATTTTGAAATTGTAATTTTGGGTGGAATCTCTTAAGCACTCAAATTAATCTTTGCATATTGTGTAGGGGGGAAAGGTATGCAAAATATGAACTTGTGATGTTCTAAATGCACTATATCAAGGTTTTCAAAATCGCTCAGAGTCTTTGTCTAACTTTCTCGGGTGTCAAGTCGTCATTTATGGCAAAATCCACCAAGTTTTAGTCAATCAAGAGGAGCACACCCTTAAATTTAAAAATGGGATATTCTGTCTTTTTTGGTAGTAAAGTCAAGGTAGTGAAGAGATGGAGTACTACGACAAAAGAAAGATGAAACAGCATATTGGGAATTGCCTCTGGTGAACTGCTACAGTGAATGCTTTATGGCCATTCATTCTAATGTTTGTTAGGATATGTCTTCATAATGGGCTTTCCTTTCTTTTTTGTGACAGACTATCATTATAAACTGTTCATCTTAGGTCTAATTCTAATTTTGTAATTTACAAGATTAAAAAAAAGTAATTTTATCTGAATTTAAGGACCCAAGTTGTAGTGGCTGCTTCTGCATTGCAGCTGCTTACTGTATCCTAACCCTTCCTCATAATGTCCAGATATTCATGGACATACAGAATGTGTGCTCAAAAGAAAAATTTATAAAATAGTTTCAGAATGATTGAATACACTTGAGCGGTTTTCACTTGGTACACTAATGCTCATTTAATATGTTTTTCTGGAATTAATTGTGTTCTGACCCTTTGTGAATTGTTTCAGTGGAAACAGATCAAAGCACTGCAGCACATGTAACAAATGCATTGAAAAGTTTGACCACCACTGCAAGTGGCTGAACAATTGTGTCGGCATTAGAAATTATAGGTATGTATCATTTCAGGAGCGGGTTTTTCTTCACATATTTAAATTGTATTACAGAAATGATAGTGAAAACAGTGTTGTGGTTCGTTACTATGGTGCAATGGTTTGTTAGGCTTTTTGCTGCCAGATGAATACAGAGGCGAGGTTAACCTTCAGGCACAAGTTTGCAAATGCACAACTTTCCTTACTTGCAACTTTCCTTACACTTCTTAGAAAATTGAGTATGAGAGGTCACAGCACCTTCAGGGCTTCCGCGGCATAGAATCTTTTTCCAGAGCTTCTAACTTGTGTGCACACCTTTCAGTGTTAAAGGGGTGCGGAAACAAAAATTTAAATATTCCAATTTCGTTCGGAGATGAGTCAAGCATGACTGATAATAACCGTAAATGATAATGGAATGTTTGTATTTTGAACGACCGGCTATATTTTTCCTTCCAAACAGTGCACTCGAGCAAGCGCTCAAAGAGAAGTGAACGGAGAGCGCGATGGGAATCATGGGATATCTGGCGCAAACAAAAACGGAAAGAAAAGATTCCTTGCATTCGTGACGTAGCAAGGCTGGCGTGGTTATGAGCTTTGCCCTTGGTGGCGTTGTCAGCGTTGTGGTGGTGTCAATAGCATCGGCACATTACAACCGAGCTGTTCGAAGTACCCTTGGGGTGACGAGCGTGTGGCTGGCCCAAGAAGCACGTAGCTTCCACAACACTGTCAGCTCGGGGCTGAACGGGGTGGGGAAAGCAACTTTTGTTCCGAGTTTTGAGCGACGGGCTAATCTTCTAGGGGGAGAATGGCTGTTTCCAGTTGCACGAACGAGGATCCGAGAAAGAGGGAAGTCCTTCCTTTCCGTCTTCTTGGACTGTTTGGTACAATGCGTGTTTTCTGAGTTGAGGAGGAAAGCTAAGAAGGAAAATGTTGAAATTCCAAAGAGCGGCGCTGCTCCGATGGGACTTGCTACGTCATGACTACGTTGCAAGTTTCCCAACGTTGCTAGATTACCTCCCAAATAGGCTCCACGTGCATCCACCAGGTGCACGTTGAAAGATTGTTTAATTAGCTTTAAAATTAGTTTGCTTGTGCCTTTGAACGAAAGACTGGTATTTTTGAGGTTATGCTGCAACATGGAACACATTAAAGCTAAAAAATGAGCGCTGGAATTTGGTTTTCGTACCCCTTTAAGTAGTTTATTGAAACTTTTGACTAAAAGATTCATTTTATTCAATGACTGCATTATGTAATCCTTGCATTGTCAACATGATATGAGTTGACACGGTGGTTTGCTTTCCTCCAGGTACTTTGCAGGGTGTGTTGCCAGTGCCCTGGCAGCCTGCCTTCTCACCTTTTTTCTCTCAACTGGTCTAATCGTTGCCTATTTCACCAAGAGCAGTTGGCTACATCAGTCTCCAGGTTAGTGCATGACATTCTTAGAGCTGCCTAGACAAACTTTATTTATTTATTTATTTTTCCTCAAGGTACATGTACATTTCAGAAGGGAGTGAACACACAAAACAATGATGGCAACGAAATCAATCAATTAAGGATGCTGTTACTAAGTGTTTGTTTAAAAAGAAAAACGTCGGTGATGGAGGCAGTTGAAGCGGGAAGGTGGTTCCAATCTGTTGATGTGCAAAGTATGAATGGCACATTGAATGCGTTAGTGTTGGAACTTGGTATGGGGGGCCAACCTTATGAACGTGATAGAGGCGATTGGAGCGATAAGAGGGTTCAAGTATAAGTGACTGGGCATAAAAATGAGTTGGGATGGTAGATCTTACGAAACGAGCAGAGACGAGCACATTTACAGTGGGAAGATAAGTCTGGTAATGATAGTTATTTTCATATTTTTTACACTGGACGTGCGATGATAGATAAGATGAAACGAGCTGCTCGATTCTAAATGCTTTCCAATGCAGTGACAAGGCAGTGTTGGCCGTGGTCTTACACGGATGAAGAAAACTCTAATTTGGAATGGGCTAGGCACTTGTACATGATTAATTTCAGCGATGAAGGTGCTTGAAAAAAATTGTGTTTTAAGGAGCCCTGGATACGATTGGCATTTCCAGCAACATACTCAATATAGGTATTCCATGAAAGATTGGAGGTTATACAGACACCGAGTTACTTGTAAAAGGAAACAGGTGATAGGGATGTTTCGTTAATATGATATGTAGGACAGCTAGTGTTAGTGCGTGACACTCTCATAGACTTGCATTTATTGGTATTTAATTCCATCAGCCAAGCATCACACCAGTGAGCTATGTGGTTAAAGGGAAGCTACGGAGCTTCTTGGAAAAAATGAGTTAGAAGTGAGTTCTAGTGTATTTTTACCCCGTGAACCCGAATACCCAAACCATTTGCTGCGTAAGTATTGTTAAACGCGAGAAAAACGCGAAAGACAGTCTCTGTCCGTGACGTCATCGACGGCTCTTTTGGCTGCTCAAGGCTAGGGAGGCGGGGCTTCAGTCCTATTTTTAAATTGCTCGTATGGCTCTCCGGCGCGTCGCATTGAAATACAATTTTGATATCTGTTAATCTAAAGGCCAAATGAACACAATTCAAGTGTTTTTCCTCAAATGTAGAAGTGCCCCATCTTCCCTTTAAGGTCCGTTTGAAGATGAGCAATATCAATATGAAGAAATGTTAGATAATAGATCGTTAAAGGGGCCCTGCAATCGTATTTAAACGTCTACCTTTTTTGCGGTTTCCACGTCGCTTGGGGTTCGGGCAAGCCAGCAGGCACGGAGAGAGTAACTAAATATCAGTGCGTCATATCTTAACCGGACGACGCGGAAACCTCCTCCACCGACGAGGGCGACCCGCGTTACCGAAAGCGCGCAAAATGTGACGTCTTTGGTCCTCGGCTTACTACTGGTCAGAGCCACTAAAAGCTTCTTTTTAGTCGAAATACAAAATGTAAGTGGCGCAAACCGTTTCAATTATTTATAAAAGTAGTTTTTGTTCAGTATTTTAGACAAAAAAAGAAACGAATGCAGTTCATAAAGTACGGAAACAAGAAATGACCCGTCGACATACCCGCCACCAAGCGGTAGAAAAGGCGGCGCATACTAGAAAGGAGTGGTGGGATCAGGCGCCGACACGGAAAGGTCCCGGATGTACGCGGCGGCGCTGCGGTCGCATGGGCAGGAGGATCCGACCGGCTCCGAGCGTTCCGAAGGCCTTCGGCGAGAAGTTGTGTCTTGCGGTTTGGCCGTTTCGCGGTATGGCAGCGCAAAGTAGCTTCCATTCTGAATTGATCTCTGCCCCGTGTTTGCTGTCGTTTGTGGCCAATGAAGTGTCATGCCGAATTAGTACAGGGGTGGAACGGCTGCGCCATTTGCGCCATTTTGCGCCAGACGCATTTGTCTGCGCCATCCTGCGCCATTTTGCGGAAGCTGCGCCACAGCCAATACATCGCGCCATTGTGCTCCAAATCGCTGAACGTGCGCCCAATTTTTTTTTTTTTCGTATTGTCTTGGTTTCGGTTTTTATCGACTCGATTGGTAACAACGAGCGCGTTTAGCTTGGTCGGCCTTGCAATCCTTTGTCCTGTTTATTCTTCCTTTGTATCCCAATTCCCGAGTCGGAAGCGCGCGAAAAAACTCGGGGTTCTAATTCCAAGTGCTACACCACCTGCGTCTGGATTGTTGTTCTTCAACCATAAGCGGCTAAGCAAGTCGGCCGAGAAGAGGTAGAGCCGTTAAGCGTCAGATTACCTGAGGCTCTGCGGCCCGGGTTCCGGAAGTCAGCCAGTTGAAAACACATTAGCAAACGATTCCTTTTAGTACTTCTTCGTTAGAAGTTGGAACCTCATTCCTGCAAGATAAATCGTGATTTGACAGAACTGAAACGCAGTCCGATCCGAAACCTTGCCGGCCAGCAGCTCTCACGCGAGCCATAGATCTTGCTTGATAAACCTTGCTCCTGCTTATCGCTAAGAACACAATAACTCCGTTAATCGTAGTCTGCTGCTTCAATATTGAGTTATACAATAGTATAAACTCGGAATTTGTTGCCCTGTTCCTCCGCGCAACTGCACGTCCGTTTCTCACGCACGTCATGTGGTTCGCACATATAATTACCATCTCGAACAGGTGTGAGTTGTGCCATAAGCAGTGCTGGTTTGCATTTTGAGCAGCTGAAAGCCACTCAGAAAATATCAAGGACATTATCTGCAGAAACATATGGTACTTGCTTTTTGGTTCTCATTAAGGCTCACAAAGTTTCAAGTTTTCGCATCTGTTACACTGTTATCCCACCTACATAGGTCCCTAACCACCATCTGTGTTGTTCTTTTGTGCTGCTAAGCACAACTGAAATTGCTCCCGTGCTTGTCTAAAACACAAGCTGAAGTGCAATCACAACTGATCTGAGCTGCTCCTAGCCTGCTCCAGAACATCGTTTTAGCTGCTCCCAACCTGCTCCAAAACAGCTGTTTCAGCTGCTCCCGTGGCTGCTCCCAAGTACATTTCATGAGTTCCACCCCTGTAGTATTTAATTGCGCAGTAAATGCAATGACAGCCGCTCTGGCTGCCCGCTGCATACAGCCTATCCAGAACACGTTTTGATGGCGCCCTCTTGCGCCGTCGACACGGAGTGCGGCAGCCGTGAGCGCTCGATAAGCTCACTACTTCTCCTCTAGTTCACGGCCACTCTCAAGTAGCCAAGGACGTCATGAGGGAGGTTATTTTTTCCTTGTTTTTGTAATTTTAATTTGCCTATAACTTTTAAAATAAAGGAAATTTCGAGAAAAGAAAAGTTTCACTAAGTTACTACGTTCAATGCGCTCAAGTTCGGTGCAAATTAGAAATTAGTAAAAAAAGTCATTGCAGGGCCTCTTTAAGAAACAGTAAGGGGCCAATTATGGAGCCTTGAGGCACCCTTGAATGAACAGACGCCATAGAAGAAATCTTGTTGTTAACACTTACAAATTGTAGACTATTAGTTAAAAAGGCATTTATCCAATCGAGTATGTGAGGGTCAGTATTCAAGATGCAGAGTTTTTGAATCAGTAGAGAATTAGGAACTTTATCAAGTGCTTTAAAAAAATCTAGAAAAACGCAGTCAGTGTAAGAGCCAGAGTCAAGAAGGCAATGAAGATCATGGGTAAAGGATACAAGTTGAGTTTCACACAAGAGTGATTTCCTGAAGCCGTGTTGTGCTGATGTAAAAAAGTTTTTAGATAATAAGAAGGTAGCCAGATGAAACTAGATAATATGTTCTAAGATATTGCACAAGATACTTCTTAATGAGATAGGACAATAATTGCATGGATCATGTTTGACACCTGGCTTGTGCAACGGAATCACCTTCCAGATCTTCCAGTCATTAGGCACTATACCTGTTTCGAGTGACTGGGAAAACAGCTGATGAAGTATAATAGACAAATACATTTTGGTGTTTTTTTTTAGAAATTTTGAATTAATCTTGTCAACACCCGTAGATGATGAAATCTTAAGCCTATCTATTACACTTGAAATGCCAACTACTGGGTGATTCAAGGAGCGACCAGGCTCTTTAAATCAACCGCAAAATTCTGTTTCTTAACCTATCGCGCTACGACTTTGTGCAGCGTTACCCACAGATGGTGCATTTTGTTTTGTAAAATTTGCAAAGAGCAGACTTACCTGAGGAAAAAGTAAAGAAAGAAAAAGGCTTAGCTCCTATGGAAACGCAGCGAAACCACCGGTCTTCAAACATTACTGCGACGATTCGCATGGGAGACAAGAGATGACGCAAGCGGTTGCGACGCCAACTGCCGCCAACGAACGAGCATACAGCGCCGAGAGCCGGCGTTTGTAACAGACAATCTTTTAGATTCAAAAGCGGCGCGCGTTCCGCAGGCGGCGACGGTCGCAGAAACACAAACAGGTGCGGTAACAACAAGGAACTGCAAAGCAGACGACATAAGTACCACGAAAAAAACGGTCAAAATATCTCGACAAACCATTTTTTAATCGATTATGTGTCCATTCAATATGTTTTATTAGTAAGGATGATAAAATAATGCATTGCCAACTGATATCAGAAAAGCTTGCGTCGTTTTTGAGTCGAAAAGATTGTCTGCTAAAGACGCCGGCTCTCGGCGCTGTAGGTTCGTTCGTTGGTGGCAGTTGGCGTCGTGACCGCTCATGCCATCTCTTGTCTCCAGTGCGAAACGGCGCCGTATTGTTTGAAGACCGGTAGCATCGCTGCGTTTCCATAGGAGCTAAGCCTTTTTCTTTCTTTACTTTTTCCTCAGGTAAGTTCGCTCTTTGCAAATTTTACAAAAAAGAAATGCACCAACTGTGGGTAACGCTGCACAAAATCGTAGCGCTATAGGTTAAGAAACCGAATTTTGCAGTCGATTTAAAGAGCCTGGGCGCTCTTTGAATCACCCAGTACATTGAAAACAACAGAGTTCATAGGTAAGAAATCATGCAGAGGTGTGGAAGTACACTTATGTTACTTTGAACAGAGAATGATTTGACAAAAACACCATTTAACACAGAGGCACACTCGTAGGGGCCTATGCTTTGCCCATCAGGAGAGATCAGAGAAAAGTTTCCGTTATCACTGCTGTTTAGTAAACAGTGTTCCAGAACTAATTAGGATTATTCAAAAGCATGGAAGGAAGTGTGGTATTAAAAAAAAAAAACATGTTTCGCATTTTTAGCTGCTTTGTCATATTCGGAAGCGGCAGAAAGGCACGGATAGATTTTTTTTTTACCTCTGTCACTTTGCAGGATATGTTTTACCTTGTATGAGGTGATGGGACAGATCATGGTTATTTTATTCCCATCACTTTTGTAATCTGGAACCACCTTAAACTATTGCTGAAAGCCCCATGCATATAATGCAAATTTTTGAATTTCTGTTACTAATATATATATATATATATTTTTGTTTTTTTGTTTTTTTGTTAGGACCTTTAACAATTCTGCAATCTTTTGTTTTGTCGTCATTGCCAGATGCTTCGTGACATTTCTATTTTGATGTAACATACTCCTCTCTGTAAGGCCTCTGGCCCTGACGGTAACTAAATAAGTTAATATATATAGTGTTTCATGGTTTGTATTACTATGTTTCAGTACCAATAAATGGGAACACGACTCTGCCCAATGCTGATACAGAAGAAAAGGGTAAGCCATTATGCAAAATAAAATAGTTACTGTGTTCTTTCAAAATACTGCATATAATGCATGCTAAAGTTCTGGTTGTCCAGTGGCAAATGCGGAGAACAGTGAATATGAAATGATCATCAATGCTCATTTGTAGAAATAATTTTCAGAATACAGTCTAGGCTAGAAACAACTATATCTTTAATTACCAGGGTATCAAACCAGACTTGAACCGAGAACCGGATTAAAATCACAATTTTTGACCGAATCGGTGCACAACCAAAACCGAAATCTAACATTTCTTGAGCACGAACTGAATCCGAACTGCCATCTTCTATAGGCCGACACGTGGAGCGGCTCTGTTTACCAACACGGCCGGAAGGCCGCGCATGCGCGGTAGCTATGTGGGCAAGAGCGACCCGGCTCTTCGTGTTTTCGCTATTGCGTTGTGTGGCGTGCGCTCGTTGTTGACGTTGTAGGGACGCTTCTAGCTTTATTTGTGAGTCGTATTTCCTGACAACATATGTCGTATGCTATGCCCGACTATTTGAGCTCGCTACCCGAGCCTGAACGGCGGCGGTATCGAAACAAACTGTGCGTGGACGGCGTTGCCTACGAGGATCCAAACGCTGTAAACGCCTGCTGAACTTCCGATGTGAAGTTGCGGCCACCGAAGCCGACGGCTCACGTCGTCGTTTATTTAGTTTTTTCGCCCAGCCAGTTCACGGCCGACACGGAGCAGGCGTACAAGTCTCTCAAGGCCTACGATTACTTTGAGTCGGTTTCCGCACTGCCGGTAGGATCAGCAGACTGCGGGTCTGTGGATGCAATGATTGGCTGTATATGTGTGCCAATCATTATGCGCAATGCAATGATTGCCTGTATATGTGTTCTGTGGAAAAGCAGACGCAAAGGCCTTGTCCATAAATAGTGCGGCTGTTACTCGAGTAAATATGGTACAAGGCATGGATTTAGAAAAAAAATGTTAACTACAACTCGGCTCCTATCAGTTGTATATACCTTCACCAATGCCATCAACAATAGAGAACAAATTGATGCAATACTTTTAGATCTATCAAAAGCTTTTGACAGGGTACCACACCATCTGCTACTAAGAGAGTTGCAGCGAGTGGGCATTGTTCCCTGTCTTGTGACATGAATTTCCACATATCTAAAAATAGAATGCAGTTCGTAGGAATTAAGGGCTGTCAATCGGTGAATTTTGATGTGCTATCGGATGTACCTCAGGGATCGGTCCTGGGACCACTCTCGTTTCTGGTTTATGTTAATGATATAGCCGATAACCTTGACTGTGGCGTGAAATGTTTGCCGACGACTGTATTATTTATAGAACTGTTTGTAACTCTTCGGATCAACTGTTGCTGAACAAGAACTTCTGTGGCATTGCTGACAGGTGTGAGAGGTGGCAAATGATTATTAATTACTTAAATACTTATGCTTTTACAATAACACATAAGAAATCTCCTCTTGGGTTTAAGTACCTCATAGAAAATAAGTGCATTGAATCTGAAAGAAGTAAAATATCTGAGCCTAACCTTTAATACGAAACTTAACTGGAATGCTCTGGATAACATATGTCCCAAGGCCTACAAAAGGATGTGCTTCTTAAGAAGCAAGCTGGGAGCATGCGATTGGACGGTTAAACTTTCAGCTTATAAAGCTCTTATTCGATCAGTGGTCGAATATGCGTCAATCGTGTGGGATCCATACCAAAAAAAAAAAAAGACAGAAACAGTTGAGAGGATTCAGCGACCAAGTGCTCAACTTATTTTTTTCTGATTTTAGGCGTGGCACCTAAAATCGGAAAAAATGTGGCCTTGAATCACTTGAGACTAGATGGAAAATTGCCAGATTAGGCTTTTTTATGAAATACGCAATAACGAGTCCGAAATAAATGTCTGATGGTTTGCTCCAAAAAATAACACATTTAAATACTCCTATTTCGTTGGAATCATTAATGATTGGAATTCATTGCCTTCCGACTGCGTGCAAGCACTAACACACAACAGTTTTGACTCCTTTCTAAGAAACATGATGTAACCCTCTCCTGCTAGGATGGTGGAAAACCGTCTGTAGTGGTTTTTCACCACACAGACGGTTTCACCCGCCCTGACTACTGAGGAAGAATGCAAAATTTGTCATGGCTTTTTTTTTTTTTTTTTTAGAAATTAAAAACAGTTTTAGTAATGTTGCTTGCAACCGCTGGCTTTATATTTTCTCTTTATGGTCTGTACATATGTTTCTATGCTTAGTATTTGATGGCAACTTCGCCTTTCACCCACATGCACTAAGACTGAAGTGTCAGAGTAAACTGAAAACACTCAAAGTCCTTTGACATTGTCACCCAACTGACCACTGGAGCATTCGGAATATCCCCCATGCCTAGTCTGTGTGCCGAATCAAATAACGGTTGCTTGATAAGTGGTGGTTTTCTTTTAGTGCACGGCACTTTTTAGGACTTCGTAGGCTTCCTCTATACAAGCTCATTCTGCCATTCAGAACAGAAAGTGATTCCCAAAATAGGCTCTCCGTCAAGATGTACACATAGATTGCAATCTGACTTTTTCAAAATATAACAAAGCGAAGTGTTTCTTTCAGCATTCAGTGATGTGATTGCTGCGCCAATAGACCGATCTCACGAGGAGTTGCGCGACGCCACCGCTGCCGCGGTGCATTCTGGTACCTGTAGTTCTCCCCAGTTTTCCGGCCGCGTCGGCGCGCATTGTACGCCCGGCGTTTGGAAATTTTCGGGTTAGCACGAGACTTTTAGCCAGGTGTTGACTCATGGTTTTCAATCGGTGGCTTCACTTGTTGTATGCCACGGAGCTATAATAACAGCACCAGGCAAAAAGGCCTCGGATATTATGTCTTCCCGCAAGAAAGAAGCATGGCAAAGAAAGGTCGACAGAGCCGGACAGAGCGGCAGGAACAATAGCGTTTTACGATTTGTTTCGCGATTTGCTTCATAATTTATATCCAATTATTGCACGTCAGCTAAAATATGTAAGATTACAGGGCACAAGACATACAGTGTGCCGAAGTGTTTCGTAAGCTGGAATCTCTCTGACCATTTGCTCCGTAGCGGCCTATTCGTTGGTCTATCTCAAATAGGACCTCCGCACTGCTTTGCGGAGGCCCGTTTTTAATACACTTCTTACTCGGTGTATTTTGGTGGTTATAACTGTTATTGCGACGACATGTTTCAAGCACAACTGTGCTTCAAAAAATTGGGACAATCACTAAAAAAGAGCAGCGATTCCCGATATGCACCACTTGATATAAAACAACTTTTTTCGGAAGCAGCCTTCATTTTGTTTTCATACCAACGCGAAAAGATTACATAATGGAATTTAGAAGTGCAACACATACTTACTGCCAAAAATGTAACAAACGAACCTGATCCATTTTGTGGTGGTCTATTAGGCTGGTGTTACTGATCCATTCTGCACTAGCACCAGTCGAGACCGCAGAAAAAAGCTTCCCCCGTCGCGTGACTGTTAGCGTTCGGATCTTGCGCAAACAAAATAAAACTGAACAGAAACTGTGCAAGAAAAATCATCTCCACCCCAACCTTTCAGGTATCTGGCATGGTTGCTTCTTTTTGATAGATGCCAATTATTACGGCGCGTCAGGCATGGCCTTTCTGTAGATCAGTTATTTGTGAGCAGGCTTCTCCAGCTGTTCATCTCTACTCTGTCGCACAGACTGTCAACCAGAATGAAACAACTTTTAGAAAACTATCGCTGACCGAGAAAGTCTATTTAGCTCCTCTTACTTGATGGCTGATTAAACGTTATGCACAAGACTGAGCACCGCCAAGCTCAGTTTTTCATCACATTTGATGCTGTTCCGTGGTGCTATACCGAGCCGATGGTCCCTCGAATTTTCTTGTTCTTTGCTATTGCACTAGATGTTCACTTGTTTCCAAGGTAATTGAGACGTCCGAAAAGTCGGAATGCTCAAGTAGTGGCGCTGTTTTTTTTTTTTTTGTTTTGTTTTTTCTGCGGCCGCAGTGGGATTACCCCGAAGCAGACGACGACGCAGATGACAACGAAGCAGACGACAAAGTGATTCTAAAGCGATAAGACGACTGAAACTGCTTTTCTGCACTGGCTGAGGAAAGTAAGGCATAACAAACAACACAATCTTATGAAGTAAAAACATGCAAGAGAATCAAGGGGATGCCGGGGCGTGCCAATTGATAATCTATGATGATGTACGTACGCGCAGCCGTATGTAGTCGGGAAGCCGGGAAGGGATGACTACAAGTAGCATGGCGGCGGCACCACTTCCGGAATGCGCACGCCTGCGCAGTTCGCTTGGTGACATCGGTGTATTGTGCCAAACTGTGCCAAGGAGGTGACCCTGCTACATCCTGCTACATTTTACCAAAATATGGGTAATCTGCGCCGAGCCTGCGCCTAAAAACCAATTTCGGTCGTCTTTCAAAACCAAAACTAAACTGCACACTGTAATTGAGCATGCGTGTGCTAGTGGCGCAAGCAGCCGCCCAACACAAAGTACCCTGCATCAATTGTACATTCGGTCTTGCATGGTTCTCTCGCTATCTTGCGTTTCGCGCCCTTGTCGTCTCAAAAAATCTCGTCTTGCATCTTTTTTTTTTTCAACGATAGACGTGGGTGTGTGTGGTCGCCCGGACGCTAGTGTACCAGGTACCAGCCATGCCGTCATGCTGTGAAACAAAACCATGTTTTTGCGCGACGGGAGCTACTCTGCGAGATGAAGCACTCGCTCCAAGCAATGGCCACGGGAAAACTATATTTGGTCACTGCCTTTTGGTCACCGTGGTCGCGCAACGTTGGGTGTTGCCATCCCCATGTCGTTGCAGATATGGCGCTTTCTAAAATTAAACTAAGTACTGCTGCATGTTCATCAACATTCCTGTTCTTGTTCAAATCATACGTTACTACAAAAATCCCTTTTTAGCTCAAAGATTGCTGTGTCGAAGTATTGATTACCTTGATTGCTCTCGGTGGGCT